TGGCCCATCTCTTCCTACCCCAGGAAGGGAAGCCCCAGTGGAGGAGACGTTTCCTTCAAGAAACATTGGGGAGTGAGATTTTTGGCTTAATTAGCTGCTAACGAACAAGCAGGCTCGGAGGCCTGCTGTCGTTTGCGACCTGTTTTATGCTCCTGTGCTCTCAAACGAGCTGTCCTGCAGGGACAGAACCCCCCCCCATCAGCTGTGACCTGGAGGAGACGTCTCATGCTCTCTCACTCTCTCTGTGGATATTTGATGGCTGAAAGGAGGTGACTGGCCTCCCAGACCTGGAATGTGAAAATACCTTCAAGGAGAGAGAGACGCTGTATCTTGGGGGAACTGTTCACAATTTGGCTGGTTTTTATTTCAACGGAATTTGAAACCCAGACAAAACTGCAGCCCGTCTGACTGATGACCTCATCCTGTTTAACATTCTTTCCCGCTCCATGTGGGTTCAGCCCCTCCTACCCCCCCCCAGCCCCCCCGCCCGTCTGCGCACCTGCTTCTGTCCGTCTCCCTGCGAGAGAGGCAGGGGCTGGCCGGTGGGCTTGCTCTCCCTAGGCCCAGGGGGCTCTTCTTAACCGAAACATCTGGTACAACCCCCTAATTTGACTCACTCGGTCACTAGGGGATGAAGGGGCCGTGTGAACATAAAACGTTAAGAATTCAAATGATGAATTGATTTCAATGCCAGGGCCTGTTCCCCGGGAGCAGATATAGGGCGACAAGACAACTAGGGGCGACACAGGTATTGGTGCGTTTCTGTCAGTCATTTAGTCTAAAACAGTATAGACACGCATGTTATTACAGCAAACACAAATATTTGCAGGTGAATAAATAAGAGTTGTAGGAGATCTGATAGTGAGGCTTCGGCTCTTTTATATTTTAGCTGATTATTTGCACCTGCCCCCTGTTTAACCCGTCTGTATTTAAGCTCTCTCGCTATTCCTGGCTCAGCACTGGGAGATGGACGCCCGGAAGCCCGCCTACCAGCGGGTCCAGGAGAGACCCGATGGCACAGGCTTCATCACGGCGTCCTGACCGTCTGAGCCTGGGGCTCGGAGCGCCTGGCCTCGTCCTCCTGGTTTTATTCCCTGTCCCTGTCCCGGATCCCGTTCCAGATTTTAATCTTGTTTGTCTCATCTTGGATGGATCCCTTGGATGGACTTTGGACTGCGCCCCGGATTTCCCCCCTGGACTCTCTGGACTTGTTTGCCATCGCCAAGCCCCCCCCGAGCACCGGATCACCACCGTCACGCCCTCCTGAGCACCAGATCACCCCTGTCACGTCCCCCTGTTTGTCAACCTGTCCTGATCCTCGTCGTCTCCTCCCTGTTGTCCTTCTCCACTTCCTGATTATACCTGGACCGGCTCCCGTTACAGCCACACTCCTGCTTTGCTCTGTTAGGATTTTCCATAGTTCATGTCATGCCTAACATCATGCCCCTTGAACGCCACTTCTTCGGGTGATGTTAATCTATGAAGCCACACTAAATCCAACTGGTGTCCTCCTGTAGCTGTGCTGCTCTGTCTGAATCGTGTCCAAAACGAGTGAAAGCACAACAGCAATGTGGGAAAGCAACCACAGCCAAGACACAGTGGGAATTGTGAAAGAATTAGATGGAAAAAGATGGAAAAGAGCAGTGAACTGCAAAGAGGCTGAGATCACAGGGCCAGATCCAAGACCATCTGGGGAGCCTATTATACATTTTCTTTGGTGCAAATTAAAACAGCGAGTGCTGATTTTGGAACGCTCCTGGGTAAGATACTGACAGCCTTGATGAAATTCTCACCATCTTCTTCTGTATCGCAGAATCAATCATTCTGTAAATTAAGTCTGTACACGGCACAGAAAAATCTGACTGTTTCTCCAGCGTAGAAATGGACAACCTCCTGTGTCCGAACCTGCAAGCCCTGGATCACTTATACTGCCAGCTATTTTCCATCCACACTTCGAAGACGAGAATCGCCGTTAACTTGTTTTAAACTCATAGAAATTAATCTCCGTGGAAATGACCGACTGCTGACCAAGAGGGCTAAGGGAAATTGCCAAAGAGAGGAGAGCAGCCTGTCTGTATTTCGTACTGAAAATGGAAAAGTACCCCTCTCATAACTGTTATCTTTTTCATTCCCATTTTATAAACCCTTGATTTGACTTTTAAGGTAATTGGATTTGCTTTACAAAGTTTCAGAGAGTCTTAAACTAATCATGCAATTTTGCCCTGCAGAAGAAGAAGCACTCAGATAATGGTGCATCACGAGGTTCTGTCAGAGAAGGAGCGGAGGGGAAGTCTAGTTACTGACAAGGCATCAGATGCAGAGGAATGCCAAGTATGTCTTTGGTGGGCTGTTTTTACAGATCTGGGGAGAAAACAAGAAGCCCAGAGCATTCTCTTCCCATGCAGCCATGTGTTGAAAACATCCCACTTTCTGTGTGGATTCGAGCATTTTACAGCACTGTAGTTGCAAGCGGTGACATGCTGTTGGACATCTCTGCGATGTAAGGTCAAGTGTCCAGTTTTGAAGCATTTGAGGGTAAAGCCAGGGTTCAATATCATCCTGCAGCTCCCAGCTGGCAGCCCCACTGGAGCTCAGCAGTGTGAGCCTGGTCAGTACCTGGATGGGAGACTCCTGGGAAAGCTAAGGTTGCTGCTGGAAGAGGTGTTAGTGGGGCCAGCAGGGGGCGCTCACCCTGCAGTCTGTGTGGGTCCTAATGCCCCAGTATAGTGACGGGGACACTGTACTGTAAAAAGGTGCCTCTCCTTCGGATGAGACGTAAAACCGAGGTCCTGACTCTCTGTGGTCATTAAAAATCCCAGGGTGTTTCTTGAAAAGAGCAGGGGTGTAACCTCGGCGTCCTGGCCAAATTTCCCCCTGGCCTTCACCAGTTATGGCCTCCTGATAACCCCCATCTCTGAACTGGCTTCATCACTCTGCTCTCCTCCCCACTGAGAGCTGGTGTGTGTGAGAGGACTCGAGCATCATCCAGGTGGGGCTGCACACTGGTGGGGGTGGAGGGGATCCCCATTACCTGTAAAGAGCTGAGTGGAGAGTCCAGAAAAGCGCTAGAAAGAAAAGTGTAAGGGATTATTATTATTAAAACTTACCGGAATGGCGTGGAGGAAATAAGGATCTCTGTTCAACTTTAAGGACGTAGAGTACCATACTCTGCATGTTCCTGGGGTGTCTCAGGAAAAAATCCAACAAGCCTGAAATAAACTGGAATGACAATGGCCAATAATCAATCCACATGTGCCCACAGCTGAAAACACATCTCCTCCCATCCACTTATCAGCCCCCTGTTGAATTCAGGCCATTTGCTTTCTTGTTTAGGCGCAATTGTTCAGATTTTAAGGAGGTTCCTCAGCTAGGGAACTTTGTGCTTGTCTTCACCAAACACTGTTCAAGTCCTTGTCAAAATCAGCCATTTCAGCAGCAAACTGGGGGTTAAAATGATTACATCACCAAGAAGGAGACCGAGAAGAGCTCTCGACATGAGGCTGCGTTTTTCCAGCATTACATCATTACACCTTTCTCTTTCTCAGACTTTCACATCCTGTACTAAACCACAGAAATGCACATAAATCTCGCAGGAAGACGTGCAGCAGATTACACAGAGGTCCGTGTGTCATTTAATACCGCGGACCCTGGCCAGAGTCGAATAAGACCGGACCCCTTTCAATAACCACCTGGGTCCGCTGGCCAGACAGAGGATCGGTCAGTCTTTCCACACAGAGAGTGAACAACAGTTACTTATTGATCACCGAAGGGAAGTTTTTGTTCAATTTATTCAGAAATTGTAGCCACTAGAAAAGAAATACAGAATTGTGGGGAGTTCAATAATAATAATAATAGTAATAATAATAAACTTTATTTTATATAGCACCTTTAAAGGTGGCTTCTCAAAGCACTTTACAGAATGACAGCAGCAACAACAACACTAAAAAAATACACAAGATAAACACGATGAGAATGTGTAGATGGTGGTACTAAATACAGTAGGAGCAGAGGGTTGAAGAAGGGAACCAGTGAAGTAAAGGCTCTTCTACAGAAGAAGGTTTTAAGTTTTGATCTGAAGGACTTGAGAGAAGGAGACTCTCTGATATCCTTGGGGAGAGAGATCCAGAGTTTTGGGGTGCAGCAGGAGAAGCCCTGTCACCCCTAGAGTGTAGACGGGCTTGGGGGACAGTTAGGAGACCAGAATTAGAGGAGTGAAGCTTGCGAGGTGGGGAGTAGGGCGATAGTAGCTCAGACAGGTACTGAGGTGCCATGCAGAGCCTTACAGGTGAGCAGGAGGATTTTGAAGTCGACACTAAGCTTGACAGGAAGCCAGTCAATGAGGCGCATCAGAGTGTTTCAGGTGCTGTAGTTAGACGTTCTAGGGTGAACTGCGCGTGGACTATCACGAACCTTTAACGAACCATATTTCCCAACCCCACAGCCTCTGCCGAGCCGGAAAATCCCCTGCCGGACGAGCGCCCCCTCCGGCTCCTTCTTCGCCAGGGATAACACCGCCAACTTCCTGGCCTGGTGCCGAGAGGTGGGCGTGGGTGAGACCTGCCTGTTCGAGTCCGAAGGCCTGGGTAGGTGTCTGCACCCACAATCCTCCCTCCCTGGCCCCCACTCCTCACCGTCACGCACCTGCTCTCTGGCCGCAGTGGAACCAGGAACCGATCGGTGAACAGAAACCACGAAATGATCGGACGGTTTCGGAATCGGGCTCGCGTATGGAGCTTCTGTATTGCAGTTATGAACCTGGTGATCTCTTCTGATCTGTTTCAGTATTCCTGCCTGCCTCATCCCCCACCCCTTATTCCTCATTCGCACATCTCTGTGCACTGGCAGTCGGTCGCGCTTGGTAATTAACAGCTGGTCTGTGCCCTGTCTGGGAGCTGTGCAGCAGCCTGTACACAATCGGACTGCCGAATCACTGGGGCAGAGTGTCCCTGTGACCCAGCTGTAGTGGCTAAGTGTGAGAACCCAGAGGGGCCCGATGAACTCGAAGAAGAGAAATGGAGAAAGTGGCTGGCGAAAACTCGCGCTTCAGTATGAAAGCATGTTGCTGTGACATGACCTTTCTGCTGGCAGGAGCCGAACAAGGCAGGGTTTTAATTCCTGCACATAAAGACATCCTTTTATTATTTTATTCTCCCCCTCTTCCCCCCCCCCTCCCACCTCCTCACTCAAAAGAGTTCCAGATATTTGTGTTAAAAGCACAAATTGTTGACTTGCAATCTGAGATGAAAGCTGGTCTTTATCTCTCTGAATGGGCTGCCTGTGCTCTGCTGGGACCCAGCAGCCTCCCTGTGGAGTGACCCCCCCCTCCCTCCTGCCCTTGTTAGGATTCTCAGAAGAGCCCCTGCGGCTGACCCCTCCCTCCCGAACAGAACCCCTTGTGTGTCGGGACCGAACGGTACGATACCGGCTTCCCGCAACCAGACCGCTGTCCCTTTAAGAAGGCGTAGACCTCGCTCAGTCACCTCACCTGTTCACCACCACACCCCTAGCACAAGCATACTAAAAATAATGAATAATAATAATTGCTTACACTTATATAGCGCTTTTCTGGACACTCCACTCAGAGCTCTTTACAGGTCATGGGGATCCCCTCCACCCCCACCAGTGTGCAGCCCCACCTGGATGATGCGACAGCAGCCATAGTGCACCAGAACGCTCCCCACACACCAGCTCTCAGTGGGGAGGAGAGCAGAGTAATGAAGCCAGTTCAGAGCATACTTTAGGGGTGTCTGCAGTAACCTCAGTGCTCAGTATTGGGCGGAGTGGTGGCTCTGTGGCTCAGGATCTGTGCCTGTGGCTGGAAGGTTGCTGGTTCAAATCCCATGGCTGGCAGAGGAATCCTACTCTGTTGGGCCCCTGAGCAAGGCCCTTCACCCCAGCTGCTCCAGGGGTGCTGTATAAATGGCTGACCCCGCGCTCTGACCCCCAGCTTCTCTCCCTGTCTGTGTGTCTCATGGAGAGCAAACTGGGGTCTGCAAAAAGACAAATTCCTAATGCAAGAAATTGTATAGGGCCAATAAAGCAACATTATCACATTATTATTATCATTAACCTGTTGAGCTCAACGTCCTTGGTTAAGTGCTCTCGCATTTTCAGCCTGCCTATTCTCCCAGTTCCATTGACCTCCTACACAAAGACTCCCCATCGGATCCGCTCGGCTGCTTTAACGTCAGAACTGCGAGTTCTGCTGGGGGGGCGGTGCAAAAGCGGGAGCCCAGTGGGGCTTCAACAGCAGACAAACGGTCACGGAAAAGAGAGACGCAACACAAGACGTCAAGTGCCGACGCAAAGGAAGAGGAGGAAGATGGGATACGATGGGAATGGGACAGATCTGTGTGCAACAGTGCTGGTTTCCATGACATCAGTGGGAATGGGAATTTCCAGTCTCTTTGGACCTGTTATTAAAGCTCTTAAGGGCGCTCCAGCCCTTCCTCATTTGCATCACTCCTGCCACCTGTTCCTTGTTTCTCTCCGGTTCAGTTCGCCTTTATAAGCCAGGCGCGCACCTTACTCGTGGCTCTGCATCTGATTTCCATATCGTGTGAGCCCGGGACCTGGTTGCGCCTGGCTCCGTCCTGTTTTTAACTTCCTGCTCCTGTCCTTGTTCCCCCCGCCAGTCCAGACCCGGCACCTGATTTTAATCTCCTGTTTGGACGGATTTCTCAGCCTTGGACCTTTTGCTTTCATTTTTGGATTCCCCCTTTTGGATTTATTCTGGACTGTTCGCCTTGGCCGCACCTCCCCGGATCACCAGCACCGTATGGACACTCCCCCCCTGTTCATCCCCGTATTCCTGCATGACTTTTCCCTAGTGTATTCCTTCCTCACTATTCTGGATTGTGTCGTCTGCATAGGGTCCGGAAAGAACTGTTCGTTACAGTTATACACTGTAGGAGCGGCACTTTTGCCATTCAAGAAAAGTTTTGGTGGTTGCAGACCTGCCTTGGCCCCAGCTGTTTGTCTCAAGACTCCACTTCCACCATGACTTTCTGATGCACTTTCTGTCTGCTTTATCATCATTTTACCAAGCCAGCTGTGACATATGTTAAAACATGGCACAGCCCTTCTAGACCCTTACTATTGCATCTCAAGACATTACTATAATTTCACCAGGAATAATAACACCCCAGTATTAAGTGCACTGAAAGGATTCTGGAGTGTAAAGTGAAAATTTGGCTGAACCCGCCTGGCTGAGGGCTGACCTCCTGGCCAGAGGACGAGTGGGTCTGGACCCCCGTGCACAGTGAGGAGTGACCCAGGAGCAGCCACAGAAATGGAGATGGGGTGGAGGAGGGAGGCAGAAAGACATAAGCAAGTGAGAGAAGAGGGCGACAGTATTTATAGTGTTTTAGGAAAGGAAATGACATCAGAACTGACTGCTAATTACTGACGGGCGATTTGAAGCCCTCCCGAACTTCCATTACAAACGCCACGTAGTTCAGCATAGTCAAACCATAGGAAACGCTGATGTGAAAGTAAGGTGAATTAGAGATTAGCACAAAATGTTGTTGTAGGCATGTGCCGAAATAAGCAATAACCACATTGCGTTTAGATCGGTATCAGATCACAGCGAAACTGAGCAGGAGCGGATCCAGTGTCAGTAGAGGAATCTGATGGACAGCACCGCGTCGGTATTATCCCAGTGTAAATATTAGCAACGCGGGGCTACTGGTCACAGTACCAGTGGCGTTGCGCGGGCCGTCGACTGGACTCCTTTCCCGCTCTGATGACAATCCCCACCTGAAAACGATTGGCGCAGCTCGACCACGACAGGTAGTTAAAGACAAATATTTAGCCTGCGAACAAGCAAGCATGCTGGACTCATTTCAGACCGGTTGGATGGATGAGGGTTCTAGGTGGGGTACTGGATGCGTCCGGTGATTTATTCCCCCACAGGGCTGCTGGAGGCCCGGCAGAGCGCTCTCCCGTCAGCCTTGGCCACCGCTCGGCGCTTTTAACTCCGTCCAGCTGGCGCCACGGCACCGCCCTCTGATTTACTGTCCACCTGCTTCTCGAGCAGAGGGCTGCGGGTGCCTGCTGCCTAGGCGACGTGCGTGTGTGGTTGTTTTAGCAGTGAAGGAAAATGCATTTAAAGCCGATAATTCCCCCTTGTTCTTGTGTTTCTTTCTCTTCCCTCTCCTTCTTTCTCGCGTCTTGTGTAAATTCTGGTGCAATATCTTAGTGGAGACCAGAGGAGGCCGGTAGCTGCGGCTGTATCGGAGGAAAGAGGGGCCCAGGAGGGCCAGCAGGTGGCGTTTCTCTTTTCTCTGCATGCGGTGTGGTGCCCGGTATTCACCAGCCTCTCTGTGCTTCTCGCCACCCTGGCGGAGGGCGTCGGGAGTGCTGACGTGTTGTGTCTCGTGTGTGTCACATCACCTCCAAAACTGACCCATCGCACGAGTGTCCTGGAGCTGATAACGAGGGAAAAGCTTGTGTGTCATATGAGTGGGCACGAGTGTCCTGGAGCTG